TCACCTGCTATAAATAAATTCAGCTTCGTCGCTCTCTCAAGACTACATATGAGTGTATAAATTAAATTGTTCATAAATGTCAACTACTGCAAAAAATACACTATATTAGTAAATTAATTTACACAAAATTCTGTCGCCCGCTCGCCTAAAAAGAACTGAAATTGACTCATTAGTCATTTACTACAATAAAGGTTCTTTTCTCAGCATTTTTTTTAAATTTACGTTAGCATTGTGGCAATATCATCCCAAACTTTAACCTTAACGTGAACAGAAACAGAGAGTAAGTTATTGTTATGCTTACTGGCTGTCTTCTGCGACGAGGTAATTTCGTATAACATTATCTATTTTTATCATTATTTAGAGGTTCAAATTCCACAGACATTAATTTTAATGCTAATTTAATAACGGGAAACTGTGGAGAGTAAATGTAACTATATTTTGGCAAGTAGGACTTGGCAGTATTTTTTAAGACGAAGGAGCGTGTGTGTATACACAGCACAATCACAATTCCTACGTAAGCCTGTTCTACATATCCTCGATAGTTTACATAGCGCGAGAAAATAATAACAGCATGACAATCAATTGGTTTAATAGAAATAAGAAATCACAGCACATTATCAATTGCTACACAACACTAACATTTTATTCACACTTGGATGCGTATTCGCTCCCCGCATTTAAATGTTTAGTTTCAGCTGCGGCAGTTTTACAGTCTTTCTGTAAAAGCACCTGCTTTGAAACAGCTGACGGATGGCAGACACTTGCTTCCTCCGTAGCAACTTCATAATAATACGACCAGGACCTGCCTGTATCAGAATTTGGGTTCTATTTACAGTTGACTGCGCACACCATATATTTATCAATTTATATTTACGGTTTACATGTACGAGTAATGTAAAAAAGATATACATTTAAAGTAAAATGGTGGGATCATGTCTGTCATATGTTTCATCTCCGAAAATACTCGATAAATTTTGATTAAATTTAAAATTTGGACCTACACTAAACTTTCGAATAAGATTTTATGCTCGTTACGTATCGGTCAAGACCTACATTATTTGAGCTGAAACTGAATTACTCACGTCCAATCTTATAAATGAATCATCGTACAGAAATTGGTAGCCCTGTTTGGGCTTACTAGTGTCTGTAACTGTTGGCTTCTATTGTTAACAATCGGGGTTATAGATCTATAGCTTTAATCCGACATACATGTACCGGTAGATCTTTCTTAATATTTGCAGCCGTTATTTCTGAAATTCTTAATACACAACTTCGAAGTATGTTATCTGTAACGAGATTTCCTTCGAAGCAATAAATTTATATCCGCAACGAATGAGGCATGAAAACTTATGAATGTGCGTTTTTGTGGGTTTATGATCTAGCCAGCGTCTATGGCCATTTACAACTAGATACTTTTTTTCCAAATTAATTAAAAGACACATGATAGAATTACATCATAGATGGCAACTTCTAAATGGACCTAGAAATGGGCTTTAGTATAAAGTACAATTTTAAGTTATTCTAATATCGTTACGCATCTTAAAAGTTTTAAAAATATTCCAGAGAATTTCAAAATACAAAAACAAAATAAACAGTACCGGTGCAGTGAAATGATCTAAAAACTTGAGACCGTCACTGACAACGAGAATGATCTTCAAAATCATTGTTAGAATACTGTGAGACAAATAAAAACCGATAGAATTATAACAGGCCGTTAAAAACTTGTGTTTAAGTACTGCAAACTGTAAAACTTTTCCTTTCTTACTTACATAGGCTTATACTTCACCTAATACAAATCATTCTGACCTACTTAGTGATCCTAACCTATTCCTTGGACGTAATTCTTTTTCATAGGGTACAGACCTCGGCACTCGGCATGTAAAGACATGCCCTTCCTTTTCAGTGCTTGCACCATAATCAAAATAAACACACTGCATTCACTGATAAAGTTGAACGTAACTGTCACTTCCTGGCTCCCGGCAGGAACTGCTATCATTTTCCGAAGTTGATTTTACTGTTTCTGCAGAACGACACTCGTATCGGGAAATCTAACAGCGCCTGGCGGTTAGTCATGCAGTTCCATCCAGGAGCCGGTGACAGCGTTCAACTTTATGGGTACATAAGTACAAAGACTTGGTAAGTGAAATATTGAAACAACAAACCTACGAAATAATACAGGGCTATGCTGGAACTGCAAATACATTCCAACAGGTCTGTGTTAAAAACAAGATACAGACCTATTTATTACGAATAAAATGCGTTGTTTTGGAGGTGAACGTAAGTTTTTGAGTCGTTGCTTGCAAACAGAGTCCGGGTGTGAGAGAACGGACAACGTCAAGTATAGATGGATGGGTCCTGCGATCACAAAGACAACTCGTGACACATGATTGGCACACACCGAAAGGAAATCTCACTATGCAGCCGAGTGATTGATAGATTCGACACAACAAGCGAAAACTTTAGAAAGGCAGATGGCAAGCACAGACTACTAACAAAGAACGGTCTCTGCAAGGACTGCAAAGTGTTCCCTTCATTATACGTGCTACACAATTATGGTAAATGTTCCATTAAGACTCCAGGTCTAAAAAGCAGCAAGGCTTAGAATTGTAGCGAAAGGTTGGGGCAGAAACTGTAAATAAACGTCGGCCGTTGTAAATACGTTCTGAATACTAACTAAGCGCAAACACTGTGGGTGTCGAATAATTGTTTCCAGATATTTAAAAGATGGTCATATTTTGGGATGTAGCGCCACATAGTCTGACATAAATTTACCAAAGTACCAGCGGTCCTTCATCAGGGCGAAGAGTGATGGAGGCAGCTAGAACCTCTGAAACGTCGGTAATCTTCCAACATTTTACAAGGTATTACGGTGTTACAACCCGGAAGACAGTCATCTTCGTATTCGCTGCCGTCAGAACCTAAAATCCTAGATATTTGAAAGTCTGAAATATTGACAGGTCTCAAAATTGTAGTCTCACGATCCTACTGGGCTTATGGAGATTTGAAACAGTTACCTGGTTTCAATAACTCCCAAATTTAATTATCACATTAAACGCGATAAATATTCGATTAAACGCCGGGGCTTAAAATAAGCAATGGGACCATGTAGCCGGGTCTGGAACAGAAACTTTGAACAGATACTGGGGTTACTAGCACCAAATGTCGTACAATGACGTACATTCTTGGCAAATTCGATTTCTGCGCTGCAAAAACAGGCCTATTCACTACAGCTGACACATTTTCCATTGAAGTTGGTGAGTTGTAGGCCCAAAGGCCTGTGTTTTATACGCCAGAAAACAGATGAAGGTGTAACACCGAACATCTCTGGAAGTAGTCCTATGCCCCTAAATAAGTTACTACTGGGCGATTAAAAGGGGCAACTTAAATTAAGGTTGTTAGTTTCGTTTAATTTCCTATTACAGCTTCTTTATGGCAATTTAGTAATCCAAAATCAACCGTCCTATGAAATACTTTCGCTAATCTGAAAGCTCAAAATTCAAAATGTCCATACATGAAAAGATACAATATCCTGTTAACCTAACCCTTTGAGCACAGTGTTAAATATATGTCGGTCTACAGCATTCTATAACAATCAGTAATTCTGAACTTTCCCCACTGAGTGTATTTTTATATTTCGTATGATTCTGGTAGCCAACAGCGATTCTTTCCTTACGAAAGTAACCACCTAATCCTTGTAATATGTTTTCTTTGCGGTAAAAACTGAATTATTAATTATTATTTAGAGGAACTTCGTGTTCAAAAGGTTAAGCTCAAAACTGGAAACGAATCCTAAAAGCAACTTACAAACATTTTATCGTGAAAAAACATTCCAAGCTCCACATTAAAAACTATAATCTTTCCTGGAACCCTGTGAAACCTATCCTACTTTTTTTTTGTTACCTTGTTGGGGTTTTAATTCACAAAATCCTACTTCTTCTTCGTGAAATACTTTGTCCAGGCCCGAAATAAAAATAGCAGAAAACTATGTTGTGAAACTCGAAATTCGAAACACCACGGGTTCTCAGTGCACTTCAATGCGAACGTGAAATGTCGCCACGTGTGCTTGAACACGCGCCCAGAAGTGGTTTAAACGCAGACTTCGACATCGACCTGCGCTAAGTACGCCTACGAGCCTCGCGGTGCGAGCCGTCGACCAAGGCATGGTTAGACCATGTGTACTGTGCAATCCGATCGCACAAACACGGAATGTAACGTCATACAACACTTCTAATAAACGTTAATTGTACGCAGTATACATTATTCAAACAAACCAGTGAGCTACCTTAATTTACTCTAATTTACCTATTCTTCCTTTATCAGTTTCTTGCTCGGACAGTGATGCATTGGGCAACAAATACGGACACATGAGCGAAAACCTCAGGATAAAAATAAAATAAAAAGTTTTGCAGTTTAACCACGAACAACAAATAAACTTTGAACATTCTCCCCAGAACCACAAAATATCGCAAAACTCTTTTAAGCTTCAACATACGGTAGTTCGAGTCCTGTTCACGTGTGATTTTATATAACGCAAAAACCTTTCGTCGTTTTAATTTTCTACGACCTCCCCACCCAAAAAAAAAATTACTGTACAATAACCACTGATCACGAGAATCAAGACTCCTTACAGGTCTGCAGAACGGACTACACCACGTGCCATTAGTCTGTAAGCCGGGAAAAACACTTTCAATTCCTGATCTATGAAGACGACGGAAAATTCCAAGTATAATTTAGTTGGTAACGAAGCCAACTGCGTATTTGGAATCTCCTGACGCGGTGTTGTGCAACACAAACAAAATAACAACACATTCTCTAGAACAGCGAAGGGAGAAACCCTCCCTCGTCAGTGTCGTAACTTCCCTCTTTCGTCTCTTACACCCGCGCACTGCTGTCAGTCACTCGCCTGTCACTCACGTCAGCTAGCAAAAACACGAGCACTCGCCTCGAAAAATCGAAACTCTCCTCACAGCTACGTACAGTCGTGCACATGTAATACTTACATTTCATTCGCTTGGGGCAATCCTGCTTCCTTCGTGGCATTGCTCGACTCCGGAACTGTGGCACCAGGTGATGTTCACGGCCGAAACGCCAAGCGCTGAGACGACGAGGGGTGTTGAGAAGGACGGCAAATAAGCTAGAAATTTGATACGGTCATTTTAACCTCTTCACTATAATGCACGACCACACCACACACACAACTAACGTCAACTGTCGGTCAGATGGTTCTTCGTCGGTTTCCTGGTCCGCCTCTTCACTGTCGCTTGTCCACCGCACTTGTGACATCACTCACTGCTAAGGTGCCGAAGGTAACACCAACATAACCTACTATAGAAGCTACAGAAACATTCAGTGGCTTGCGGTCGTGCTGGGAGGACGGCATCTTACGTCCGCTCACACTACCCAACTGACCGCTCGGTGTGACAAACACCTACTCACTGCATTCACAGACACTTCACCGTCATTCTTAAACTGTTTTGTCAAAAGACGTTATTTTCTTCTCAACGTGTCTATCAATTCAAGTCTGCAGCACACTCACGGATTGTAAGAATCAAGCCTTACAAGTTGACTGTAGATATTTCAGATGCGAACAGTGGATGATGACGTTGGAAGCGACGAGGACGAGCAGTCAGCCGGGCACAACAGACACTGACTGACTGGCTGCGTGACAAGCCGCCTGCCCTCTCCGCCTGCACTGGCACGGTAGACACATAGACGCGGCGCAATCACCAGCCACTCCGTGGTCCGGTCGCCGCTCGGGGTCTGTCGACTAGATCTCTCTCGCTCCCTGTCAACTCCTCGTCACAGAGGATCCCGAAAATCTAAACGAGCCTGCTACAGTACTAGCAAACCTCATGGGTTCGGACGTGACGTCATGACAGGAAGGCGTGGCCCCTTGAAGATCCGCCCATTTCACCCCACTATATCATACTCGCGTACTTGGTACTTCGAACTTGGAACTTCGGTTACAGTGGTACGAGAAAGGCTGACTTGAGACCTGGATAGATATCTGCAATTTTGAAGACATTTTAGAGGATATCCTAAGAAAGGTCAGTTATAAAGCTATTCTATGTATACTTTAAAGATGTTATAGGCTTGAAGCTAATCTTTATATCTCCGTAGTTTTATATATCAACGAAAATAATGTGTTACATCTTCCTAACCTCTCGTTTTGGCATCCATATTGACCACCGTACAATATTATAGCCTCGCTGCACGAACAAAGAACGGTCCGCATTCACGGACTGCTAGTCATTGGACAGACAAACAGTCACGTTAAACGTTTCCAATAATGCATTATGTATAACTTTTAATGTGTACAGATATTTGTGCAGTGGCTTTTATTCACTCTAACCATACATTTATTACTATACAGCAGCGTTGACTACAAACTTCGTAGGAGCCCCGAGCGAGGCTATGGAGTTCGAAAGATTTGTTGCTAGGTGGCAGCACGAGTCAAGAGGCGAACTCGAGCAGTTCCGGTGCATGTTATTCAGTTACGGTGATGGCGGAAGTTAGGAAATGTGGTGACTCGGAACAGAGATAAAACTGTAGATGTAGAAACACAAACTGTCGCATTCCATCATATGCATTTTTTTCTTCAAACATTGCAAACAATGTAACTGTGATCTGACATTATTTTGTCACTGTTATCTGCAAATGGCCAGCACAAAGTAATATTATACAATATGATCCGTAATAAATTGTTTTATCATACGTGGGAGCGAGAAACAAACAAATTAGTAAGCATAATAATAATAGACATTTTGAATAAAATGGTGTTTTGGAATTCGTGGTGCGCGTAATTACTGCAGACCAACCTACTTTCAGCTGGGCAGGCTGTAAGAAACTCAAGTGGGACTTTTAGTGTGTGTCTTAGCACATTAAGAACAGCAGAGTAGAAACTCAAGTGGGACTTTTAGTGTGTTTCTTAGCACATTAAGAACAGCAGAGTTCATGTTATACTGCCTACTTATTTCTGTTATTATTTTTGTAAGCGGTTATCGATAAAGCAGACAGCTTTTCAACCTCAATCTATATTCAAGTACAATTTTGTTGAGGAACGTTTGTATTTTCATTATTTTTCTCGTACTTAGATTTCAACTTACAATCCCAAATTAAATACCATCTTTTAACATTTTCAACTCAGGCTTATCATCACACAGTCTACTGACTATAAATATTAAATTAGTTTATTCTCATTCCTCCTGAAAGGTTTCACAACCCTTTTCTTGGGTATCATAATTTCTCCTCCCATCTATTTCATCTGTCGTTTCCTTTCAGTAAGTACAATTCTAATATTTGTCTGTGTGTTGACAATTATGAATATGGCGACGGTGTAACACTTAAGAACATAAAGGAACCTATTCAAAACAGCAAAGCACGCATTAGGAAAACACATGTACGTGTTCCTATACCAGGTCGCGCAGACATTTTCGCTGTTCACACCGATAGTAAAGTCTGTGATTAGGTTATAGCATTATCCTTACGACAAGAGTCATTCTTACTCCAAGTTGACACTAGTTCATTAAGTACAACGCCATGAAGACGTATAGGGGAGAAAATAAAACTCCACACATTCTTGATCTAGGCTTCTCAAACCCCGTCCGCTTTACCTTTTGGGAAGAACCCAGATACCCACTGAATAGGAGGCTGGGTGGGACCCAGACATTTCTGGGAGCGAAAGCTGGAAAAAGAAATATTTTGCTCCTGCCGAGAATAGAACCACAGTCGTCTGGTCCGTAGCCTAGTGACTACATTGACCGTAGACCATACTAAATAAAGGAAGGTAGACCTATAACACGCAAAAAAATTTCATCGCGTCTTTTGCGACATTGAATCCTTTCCTCATCGTGATTTTTACTGATATCAGACACAGATGCATTGATGACGGAGGAAGGCCTACAAGTTCCACACTGGACCTATAGCCAATTTCATAACTATTTTATTCTGTTGCATAGTTCAATCAACGAATCAGGCATGTTTTTACAGGTGCACCATTTAAAACGCAGCCCAGCAACAACCAGAATCAGGTTCGCCCCACGTAATAAACTCTCCCAACCTCCCCCTTGACATTCGAGTCAACGTCACCCTTGTTGCTAGGCCGCTGCGCAAAATCTGATGCATTCACGAGTAAAATGTATGTTAATTATTGAGTATTACTTTAATAGAAATTGTTTTCTGCTGCTTATAAAACATTTAGAAATGTATGTGTTGCATTTTAAATGGAATGTACTGTATTATGCTAAAGAGAGGAATAAAATATTCCTCACTAGACCTAAATACCTACACCACAACTTATTACATAGACTAACGTTTTAATTCAAAACTGAACCGAAACTCTGCTCTATGGATTTAGTTTTGTTTCAGTGATGTATTATTGTACAGTATCCGAAACTTCTACATTTCTTTCTTGTTTCACCCCTTTCTTATTTTTTTCAGAGGTACTCACATTTTAGATTGTAAACGAAAAGATAACTGACCACATTAATCTTAGCTGAGTAGGACAAGAGATTTTGTAGCGGCGTTTTAATTCCTTCAGATCGGAGTGACATGTTGATGCCTTGTATTTTACAGCCACGGGCAGAGAAGTTAAAACCACACAAAAACAAACTTTAGGGCTGCAGGACATCCCTGTCACAATAATTCTGTTCGCAAAGCAATTAGACATATGAGAGAAGAGGGTAACTAGCCGTTCGCCTTCAATCATGAGCTCCGCAGTGCAGAATATTAACAAATTACGAATTAATTTCTTGAAATTAATCGACTCGTTGAATGACTGATTAGACTATTGGGTTTAAAAACATCATAGATTCAACTACTGTGTGACTATCTTACCTTTAATATTTCAGTAAAAACTGAATGTCTACACACATTCAGCGAATGAAATAAATAACATTTTAAGACGCTAAACCATTACATACGTGAATTAGCGAATTTAGTGTTTTTGTTCAAAATGACCGCCGTTAGCTTCGTGGCACAGTTGACAGTATACATCTTTTTGGGGCACTCTGTACATTGCAAGGGATGAAACTAACAACGGGCGCCCGTTAAACGGTTGCAGTTTTTGGCGAGAAATGCTTTAAAAGGCGCGCTATTATCGTAGCCTGTGTACTGCGAGGCGGGCTAATAAATTCGCATGTCAATATATAGAATGGGAATCATTTAACCTGCACCCGGAATGATTTATCTCGTATACTCTGTTACATCTGTCTGGCAGTACATGAGGAGTCACCCAGCTGCCTGCCTGTGGATGCTGGAACCAATTGCGTATTAGCTAACTTATTTATACAATTTCATTTCGTGGGACGTTTTAAAAAATCACATAACAAAAGGAGCATTTTATAAGCTACACAGATTCACATGTCTCCCGCTCCATTTCTTTTCGAAATAGATGGAGTGATTATAGATTTTGAAGCGAAAAATTAGTTTCTGAAAGTGTCCTCTAAATTTCATACCGGTTAAATAAAGCAATAGTGCCTTTTGGCGAGATTTCAAATTCTTACGGGGACGAGTTTGACAGCCATCTAGAATTGTACCACGTGTTTCAAATGATTAGAACGAATTGGCTTAGAATTTGTTTGGTCGTAAGAGGACTGAAATAAATTAAGAGTTATCGATATCACTCATATAAAGGGATTTTTGGTAATTTAAATACTCCCCATTGTAATTTATTGTTTAAATAGTGCGCGCTAGAGGGCTGCGATGAGGTGGACAATTGGGTCTACGTAGTTTGAACGAGTGTCATGAAATGTGTTAAGAAGTTTGGTGTGATACTGTCAAACGGGAAGTCCAGGAAATAACAGTGACGAATCAGAAACTGACTCAGACTCACGTCCAGTGTCTTACTTTATTATCAGCAGTCTTAAACTTTTACCTTGTTAATATGATTCACACACCACGTTTAATGCTGCTCTACATTCAGAAGTGTTCTTATGAAAATCTGTTTTTTATTTGTGTCACATGTCGACATTTGCCTTCGTTTGCCATCAGGCCTATCAGGAGACTTTATAAATATGATTATTAACAGGCCTGTGGTGGAGAATCAGACCGTTAAACAGGTGCCTTGCTAGTGGTATAGTTTATTTCAAGACTGGTTGGAGCAATATGTCTAATGCGTGGATGGCTTTAACCGTACATTTGAAACTTAAGCAGGCACGTCTTGCTTATACATGCAGAAAGTACTCCTAGTTCGTTACCATAGCAACAAATCTCGGCTTGTTTTCGAGGACAACCAGGCTCGAATCTCGAGCGGGTTACTACCTATCCGGACCAAATTTCTGCGTTGTTTTACTCAGTCTTTTCAAACTAACACTGAGTTCATACTTTCAGTTCCTGTCCTCTCTCGTTCTCTTCTTTGATTTTCATTTGGTTCCTTATTTCATTATATTCCTTCCTCTGTTGCTATACATTTATATTTCTCTGTACCTTTCTCTCGAATGTCTCCTTTCGAATTTTTTGTCAACATCCCACGTCATATAACCTGTACATTTAAAGCAACATTGTTAAGTTAACATAAGAGTCAGTCACTCTTGAAGGATCCGCGTTTGCGAATATAGTGCGACATAGTTACCATGAAAATAACTAGAGGCTTTGTTACAGTGGATTCATCCCACAGAGTCTGTCTGTCTGTCACATGCTATTTCCATTACGCCATGCTGTTGTGGCAGCAGTTATCTTCGCCTATTACACCTGTGTCTGTGTCAAAGGGTGTGATGCTGATTAAATTAATGTGCTGTTAAATTCTCGCTGTCGCATTCCTTTCACTACTGATTTAAACTTCACGTGTTGTATAAATTGTTACATCCCATTACATTAATCTTGAAATGCATTTGTCTAACAGACAAGCGATGTTAGCCTGACGAGAAGTTCTGGGAAGGTAGTTATATTGCGCAATTTTCTTCAGATGCTCCAATCTACAGCCTATGATGAGGCTAACAAGAAATGTAAACTAATAATTATGCCCACTTTGTGCAGCATAAGTTGCATTTGAAAAAGGAACGTAAAACTGTACCGACTTTGCGTAAATAGAATATTATTATTTTGTGTA